TTCAGTGAGTTTCTTCAACTCTTCATCTTCTTCTTCAGTCATGGTTAGTTTCACGTTCCAGATGTTTCTATCAGGATGTCGTTCCACTGATTCGATTCGAAACACGGTTCCCATCGAGAAAAGGATTAAAAGTAGACACTTCAGGCTATCTTTCCATGTGCAACCGATCTTTTGACCGAAAATTCATTTCTGAGGGGGGCCCTTAAGAGACGTATAGTCGCCGGAGGAGAACTACGGATTTGATGGTGCAGGATGAGCCTACAAATTGACGTTAGTAATAAATAGAATAGACTTCAGTTTTTCTTGTACAATACGTTCAAATAAATAGAAACACTGAGAGCAACAAGAGCTTGTCACTTTTGTGCATCCACTTTCTTTTTCACTAGATATCAAACTGACAGTTTATTTTCTTTAAATGGCTAGTAACTATAAAGTCAAATGGGGAGAATACTAAGAAATTGTGGCTTAAGTTTATTCATTAGATTCTGATTTCATATCGAGAGTAAATCTATTCTCTCATAAAATTCTTGAGGATGCCCCATTCCTCTTTTCTGAAAAAATTTCGGATTTTGAGCTGAGCATAGCCTAATGTAGAAAAGAGTGTGGGCTACAAAATGAGACCACTCTCAGCATTCTCCAACCGTTCTTCAAAAACTTATGCATTACTGAAGTTTTTCCGTCAAAGCCTAAAAAATCTCAATTTTTTAGTTTCATAAACTTTTCTGTCCTGTTCTGTACATTCAAAATTTTTTCTTACACACAGTCTAATAGAAGAAAGTGTTTTCTTTCCTAGGGACGTTCGATTCTCGGTTCTGGAACCGAGAACCGTCGTTCTGGAATCGAAATCTTCTCGAATTAAAACTGAAACTAAAGAAACCGCAGTTCCAGTTCCGAACTTAGAACAGAGCCGCGATGCTGGGTTCTCAGCTTAAAACTGGAAAATAATTTTTCAGACAGTTAGAATTCAACGAAACAGAATTTATTTTATAGTAAGTGAAAGGATTCTTTTAAAGGATGACAGGCAAATATATTCTTTTGTAGCTTTCTCAATAGTGTTTACATTTTTTTAGAAAAAAGACAAGTAAAAAAGTCCTGGTTCCGACAAAAAGGAGCCGTCTAAGAAACCGCGGTTTCGGTTCTTCGCAAGAACCGAGAACCGAACATTCCTATTTTTTACAACAAGATATTTTCCACAACTTTCCGACGAGTTTCCGTGGAGATATAAGCGTCCCGGCAAATGCCGTAGAGAAAGTGACCTGTGTACGAAACGAGTGTTTCTCGAAAGCTATTTTTTTTCTACCGGGTTTCATTGAGTCATATTACGATCCCCATTAAATTTCATTCGATCGAGTTAAAAATGTTACCTGAGGTACTCAAGTAGAGCCCTGCGGGATCGGGATCGGGATAGGAGGACAAATATTTACGGGATCGGGAGCGGGACCGGGATCAAGCTTACGGGACGGGATCGGGATTTTCTTTTTCCAACTTATTGGAACTATATTCTTTATCACAAAAAATTGGTACTGGTAGCTGTTTTTATTAGCAGATAACTTATTTCACCGATAAAGTAAACACACACAAGAAACTGTCGTCCTCACACGACAGTCAATCAGATTCTTTCTTTCAGCCTGTCGCACACGAGCGACAGCTGTTTGTATTTTAGCGAAAAAAAATTTCGGGATTTAACGGGATTGTAATTATGCTTACGGGACGGGATCAGCATAGGTATTGGCGAAAAGAAGTTTTCGGGATCGGGATCGGGACGAAAAAACTCAATCCCACAGGGCTCTATACTCAAGACACTATTGCAGAGGTGTTTTTTTTGGAATTTTATTTTAGATCTTTCTTTACCGAGTTAGGGGGCTTCTGACCCTGGAAAACTTGGTTTTTGAGACGTTTTTCAGTATTTTTTCTATAACTCAACAAAGAAAAGCCTTGAAAATAACTCCCAAATATACCTATGCGACAGTGTCCTGAGTACCTCTGTTAAAATTTTAATTCGATCGGATGAAATTTAAGAGAGATCGTAACGTGACACAATGAAAAACCGAGTTTTCTGGAAAACTCGTAAACGGTAATAGTTAAAAACTTGAAACAAAAACGAAAAAATGTTTCATTGACTTTTCAATCAGTTCTAAAAATATGAAGCCTTGGTGACTTTCAGTTTTTATTTCACAGCATTTCTACAGAAAGCCCAAAAAGAGGGGAGGGGTACCCTTAAACGTTTATTTATTTAAATTTATTGAATAAACGGAAATAGAAGGTATAGGCGCGTAAACAATACATAAATATGTAAAAAATTGATATTCCGTTGGTATAATAAAAATATACATGGGATTGACTTCATGTTGCATATATAACTCACAGTTGAACGAGAGAAAATATTGCAGGAAAAACACATTCACGACGATAAATTTCTTGTTTCATCTATACTGGTATCTTCATTTGGTTCTTGATCGGTATGTTCGAGATAATTAGGTTGTCGGTACAACTCATGAACTTCTGGATTCGCTAAAACGGAAAAAAAAAGTGTTTAAATGTAAAGATTCTAGAAATAGTATTATATTAGAATTAAATCGAAAACAAACACAAAAAGATAATCGAAAACAAATATTATTTCTGGAAACAATGAGTTTATTATTACATAACTTCAATCTTTGTAAAGTGTGTAATCTAGAAATAATGAATTTAGTTTACAATATAAATCTAACTTCATAGCTTAAATTAAAAATAACGAATTATCAGCTATTTTACTTACATTCGTCTGAATTCAAATGTTGCATTTCATGTTTACGACTCGCTGGTTCTTGCAATCTTCTTGTTAATAAATATTGTTCACATAAATCATCCAGTACGTTTTCATCACTATTACTGCTGATACCTCGTTTACCCCATGTTGAGGATAGACGTCGTTCCAATGATCGTTTGCCCCAAACATTTGATAATCTTCTAAATGGTAATGAATACAAATACATATAATATTATTGATTTTGACATGTTATTTACATATGCCTCCTTCCTTCTATCTCATATCACCGAAAAAAATAATGTTCTCAAAGTGAATTAGTATCTATAAAACGAGAATACTTTCTACATAAATAATCAACTACGAACATGATCTAACATTGCACTGTGATTAAACGGTATACTAATGTGTGAAATCTCTTTTTCTTTATGATTATCTGATAGAAGTGAATAAATTTTAATTTATATTTTTACTGAATTTTTTCGTTCATGTAGATATCTCGTTGATTTCATCTTGTACCTACCTGATAATCTTTCTCAATCAATCTTGTAAATGAAAAGAAATGAGATCGCATCAAACAACAAACTATAATCTGGATGTCCTACGTTTCTCATTATGTTTCACGATATTTAATATGTAAGTTTCATGCGTGTGGTTGATTATTCGATCGGTGTAGTATGAAAATATGGTAGTGGCCTGTTATGGATCGGGACGGCAAAACAAAGGCCAAAAACAGTGGATAAAGTGTGTAGAATTGATATTAGATGTGATAGTAGGTTAAAATGAGCGTTGAATAAGTGAGAAATGAGGAGTGAAATAAAAAAACGACTGAAGTGACTATGTTCTTGGGATGTCTAACTGGTCAATACACAATATAAAGAAGAGGTTTCAAAAGTTCTAATGGAAGTCATGCAAATTTATAGATTAAAAGTTAGAAATATCACAAAGGAACTAAAGTCTAGTGTTATTTTTTTATTAGTATCCTATTGTCTAGACCGTCAACAGGGGTACATAAACATTAACATTTCTTCATCTTTTTTTGTGATACGGAAGTCAATTTGATTATATTGAATATTCTTTTAACAATTATTGCTTACTCTTATTTTAATTCACTTTTTGAAAACAGATATAACAGAAACAATAAGTAACTTAAAATATTACGTTAACAGCGGTCAACCATATCATGAGAAAAGATAGAAATTAATGGCACTTCCGTAAATAAATATTGTTTTGGGTTTTTATTTTAAAAGAAAATAAATCGGAAACGTTGAAATGACATAGATTGTTGTGTATATTACTAATTGTCTGTATGCGGAAATTAAACGACTTATATATTCAACCTTAAAACATGGAAATTTATGCTTAACACGTGCAAAATATTCGACATTCTTTTACGAATATTATCTACAATTCTTGATAGAAAATAAATTAAAGAATATATGGATTGAATTACATGATTTAGATTCGACTATTCGAAGATCATAATCGATTATAAAAAAAAAATGGTTACTCGATAATCTAAGCTTGTAAAACGAATGCTTTTCTTCCAAAATGTGCTTTTCAATTCTAATTTCGTTGACAGTCTTATACATGACTTGTAAGCAAAATACTAAGCTTCTTTTTCTCATAATAGTCTGATTTTTTTCGACTATTAATCATGAAATATGAAATCGGTAGGAATCTCTCTTCTTTTAGTTTCTGACATTATACCCAGCATGAGCTAATTTAAGTCTACACACATTTTTTAATATTGCTATCCTAGAAGAAGTTTTTATCAAGAAAGTAATAGTTAATATATAGCTTAATCAACTTTCAAAGTCAAAAGTCAAAGTCAAATTTATTTAGTCCATGATCTTAAAGAATTGACAAAGTAGTAATAAAAAGTTTAACAAAAAATTTTGACCAAATCATCCCACTACATAATTGATGACGACACATTAAAAACAAACTAACCGTTCAATTCGTTGATGTTTGGCAATCAATTCAACAGATTGGTCATTGTACAATTTCAGAGACATAAAAGATAATTTTTGCTCTTTTTATAACAATAAAGAGGTCAATCTACTTATAAAATGATATAAGACATTCCTGTTAGAAACGTATTCTTTACAAGACAATTTAATCGAACTTCTTTTCTTCTCTTTTTAATTTTTAAAATAAAAAAATTGTTATTTTGTTTTTTTTTTGAAAATTAATGAGAGAAATTAGATAAGGTAGGCTCAGATATAGTACTTAATAGTCGAATAACTATGAGTATAAACATGTTTTTCTTCTCGTATGACTAAATGTTAAGTTTGACATTATTTTTTTTTATATTTATTCAAGTACAAATGTCATATACTAATTATCCTTAAAATTTTTCATATGAATAATTATATTAAACTAAAAATAATATTCTTTTCATCATTATTAGACCATGTTTACAATAGAAATGCAAATCAATTGACAATATATAAAATTTATTTGAATATTACAATAGTTCAAACTAAAATTAGTTATTAAATTTTTCTACTAATCTAATAAATAGTTTAAACTAATAAATTTACCTTTTTTGATGTTTATTATTATTTGTTTGTGCTAATGATTGACAAAAAATTAATTGAATAAATAAAAATAATACGAGGAAAATCCAACAATATTGCTTCATGTTATCTTTTGAAGATAATGGTTAGTTAGTTGTTTTTAGAATAGAATATAGTCTAGAAGAAAATAAATAATAATAAACAAAAAAGTAAAAACAGTAACAATCAAACAAGAAGAGAAGAAGAAAAAAAATGAATGAATGAACTAACAATTTATGCAATATACTTATATAGACATCGATAGATGACGATCAATAGAAAAACACTTGAATTAACTGTTAATACCTTCGAATAATATTTGAATAAAAGGATTAGAGAATATACAACTGCCAATCGATAAAAGAGTAATAACAAAGAATTTTGGACGTGATGCGCTTAAATAGATAAAACATCTGTATCTTGCTTTTTAATCAGAGGGAAAAAATCTTCTTTGAATTTTTATTGTATTCAACTGAATATTTAAAAAATAAAGAAGAAAAAGATTTGCGAAGATGCTAAAATTTTCTTTTTTCTATCAGAAAACAAAAAAAAAAAAGAAAAAAAAGAAAAATGGATCCATCTATCTATTTATCTATCTATCTATCTGTCTATATATCTAAAATTTGAAATGTCTGTTGCAAAGAGTCTTTGAAATTTCTCTTTCACTGCTAATGTTATTAAACGGTAGAACAAACCTTTTTTTCTGTTTGTATTGTGTTTTCTAACAATAAACAGATTTTTGTATGTCTTTTGAGACAGCGTATAGGATTATAGAGATAAAGAAAATCAATTCAAACTTTGAAAATATAATGCTACTTTTAATCGTTCATTGTTTTGTATAGGAACAAGGAAAAACTGATGATCTATGCGCCTACTAATAAATTTTTTAAGCGACTTAAAGGTAGATACAATCAAAATATTTAGAAGATAAAAGCTGATATAAAGTATCTGAAACGATTTTCATCTTCTTTCAGTACCCCCACAAATCTTTTGAGAATTGTGTCTTTTCTAAGTCTTTTTATTCAAACACTATTTGAATATGATAATTTTTCTTCTGCATGCTTTTGTTTCACAGTAAAGCATATATAATTTCTTCAATACAGCTAGGTATGAAATAAGTGGGAGGATGTGTATTAGAGATGTGCAACCCGACCTGTACCCGATTCGACTCGACCCGAAGGTTGGGTATGGATACGAAGTTGTCGGATACGGGTAGAATAGTTACGGATACAGGTTCTATCTTTTTTTAATTTATCCGACAACCGGAAGGTTCTAATGGAAAACTCACAAAAATTTTAGTGAAAAAATACAGGAGTTTAGATAAAATACATGAAGATTTAAAAAAGAATTACTTGAGAACATAATGATAATTTGACATCTTCAGTCAAAAAACAAAAGTTTTTAGTTGGAAAACAAAAAGGAGAAAATTTTTAGGCATAAGTCGGGTGTGCCGGGTCGGATACGGGTACGAAAATGGTACCCGTGTACATCTCTAGCGTGCATAGATCAACTTTCAATTGTTTTATAAACTGAACTTGAGAATTGATTTTCAATATTTAAAATTAATTTTGGAAAAGATAAAATATCGTTCTATATTTTAATCAGGTTCTCATCCTCATCCTCATTTTCATTCATATAAAATGTCTTTAAACCAAGAAGCTGAATTATAGTACTCTAGATTGAGTAAAAATTGAAAACATTTATATTGAAAATATTTTTTTATTGCGGAAATGAGTGATGTTTTTATTGGAATACAAATCAGAAACACTAAATTTAGTCATCTAAGAAAATAGAATGAATGTTGACTTTTAAATCTTAGCGTGTACTATATAAGAAATATAGATTGTAATACACGCGAGAACGGACATTCAATCAATTCTTTTTAATTTATTGTTTTGTAATACGATTAAAGAATAAAAATTATTCACATCAATTTTGATCGACACAATTCGAGCAAATGCAAATGGTTGATATGCTTAGTACCACTAAAAGATCGCTTTGTAATCAAATAAAGTCGAACTCACCCATTGCGAGTAGACTGTGATGGCCGTCGATCTATACGTTTTTTAAAGGTCAAAATCTATTTCTTACTCTATCCACGGTCATATAGTGTTTAATTTTTTTCTATTGAGAAAAGAGTTATTTATATTGAGTAATTTGAATTTAGGTGACTCTCATACTCAATTTTAGTACGTAAGAGATTTCTAATTTTTAATTCTTTCAAGAAAAGACTTTCACTCTCATATAAACAAATTTTGGCAAAAATTATATTATCAGAAAAACTTGTGTAATTAACGGTAGATAATTTATTACGGATCATCCTGCATCACAGAAGGAATTCTTCCTGTCCTCATATTACTGCCTAGCTATTACACAAAAGTCTTATATTCGCTATTAGCAATAATCAGACTTTACAACCAATTTGAAAGATAGTATTAACCTAGAAACTAAGTTAGTTCTAAAATATCAGTCATTCTTATGAATATATGAGAAAAGAAAAGTTTATTTGATGGTATGATTATTTGCCAATAAAATACATTTGTTTCCATCATTTTACTAGATGAAGAAAAGTAAGTCTTGTTTTTCAAATTATCTAGTCTTTTTTCACAAATAGAAGAAAGAAGAAATGAAATTGTGTATTTTAATGGCATTTTTTCTTATTTGTAAAACGTGTTGCAATAAACGTCTTATAACATATACGTAAATATTTGAATGGAATTTAATCGAATACGCAGGTGAAAGCAACATGCCCGTGAATAGTCATCTGAGAGAGAAAAAATTAATAATTATGACAAAAAACAGATGAGAGAAAGAAAGAGAGTTAACGTACTTTAAAAAGAAAATGAGTTTTTGAAATTCTACGCATAGTTGCTTAAATTAATTCACAGACGGCTATAATATAAAAAACTGACATCGTTTTTTCATTATTATGAAAGACTCTTGCCACTATTTATATGAAATAGAACTGCCATCTTATGTACAAAATGTTTGAATCCTAGACTAGTTCATATCTTAAGAAAATTTATAAAAAAAAAAGGAGTATGGAATCAAATCAGCAGTATAATTTTTCAAGCCATTGTTTAGAAATGCTCAAATGAATGTCATCATCAATGTAAACAACAAATTAATCTTGATTACAATACAAACGTAAACTATCTTAGCTCATAATTTGAAAATAAAAATCTTTAGTTTTAAATCTTGTTCAATAATTGATAAACATGTGAGGGATCAAGCTATTTTTTTTACTATTATCATAAAAACAAATAGAAACGTAACGATTTATATCTGTTAAATATATTTTTTGCGCAAATAATCATGGTAATAATTATTTTTATGATGAGCAATACAAATTCTATTTATATGTTTGTATAATACAATAATAGATATTTATTTAACATTGATGTGAGATTTAGCATGAAAAAACGAGGAAGAGAAATTATCTGAATTGAATACATCTTTTAATGCGTCTGTAATTATCAAAGAATGATCAGATCTCGGAATTAAGATGAAATAAACCGAAAAAGATATTGTACAGAAATATGATCTCGATTAAAATCTAAATTTTTTGATTTACATACACATAATAATGTTTATGCAACTATCCACAAGTATTCTCTCTCACACAGATTACATTTTACTTAGAATCCGATCTTATTAAGCTGTTTTACAGAAACACACATTTCTATCATTTATAAATTAAAACTAAAAAAACTGAAAGATAATTAAACTGTGTATCTACCACATTATATCACTCAAATATAACACGTCCTTTGAGATCTTGCAAGATCTATTGTTTTTTGAGCAATCTTTCTTCAAGATGTTTTCACTTATCTTTCTAGATTTTGAGACATCTGGTGAACCTCTTAAAATCTTACGATACATTGAGACAAATTTTAACAGAAATGAGGCCAATAGATCTGTTGATATTTTGTAAGAAAGTTAGAAGATTATATAAAATATTACAAGATCATACGTGCATTTATAAGTATCTTGTCATAAGATGGCATTATCTGAGATGATCTTCTTCTAACAACATGAGAATTTCAGAATAAATAAGATTATTTAAATAAAAAAATTCAATAAAATAAATGTCAACATCTCTGCTCACCTTAACTTCGACTATGATAGGCCTAGGATCTGTCGGTTTTTATGGTGGTTCTGTTGTAATAACAAACTCTAATAAATTTTTCGTCCAGATTCATACTCTTTAAGTGGAATACCGCCTGAAATTATGCTTTTAAAGATTCCTAAGTGAGGACAGTGACGTGAGAGCCATAGTCAAACCGATGATATTTTAGTGAATGAAGCCTACTTTAAAGTACTATTTTGTTGAAGAACATAGGGGTTGTATAAATAATACAAATTACTATAATTCATTCTGGAAGAGTTTGAAATTACTGAACAAGACTTGATCAGTGATCTTTTTGGAACTGTTAGATTGAAATGAGTATTGAAAAGCAATGAAACACCCCGACCAGATTTTAAATTATAATTGCCTAGGTTAGTTTAAAACATATCCGATCTTCTGATCTACCGGGAAAAGTGTAAAATGTGAAGAATCTCACTTCAACTCTTGCACTAAGTATAATTTTTTTTACAGAATATTTCAACATAGTTTATTGTGTCTATTGCGACTATGTACATTAGCCCTAAAAAATTCAGTTTCATCCGGTAGCGCGTTCGTCTACAGAAGAGTGAAGAGAAATTCCCCTTAAGAAATTTAGAGCACTTTCTACATCTAGAACCATTACCGGTCCAGTTTATAATATTCTGGTGACCTCATTCCTGACGTGCTTTCTTCGGACCGTGACATCCGGTCGAGCGATGTTTTGGATTTTTTCCCTAACGAACGTCCTGATACCAAGGTACCTTGCTGTCGGTAATGCCACAAGTGCCCAAGAAAGTTTTCATAGTTGGATATCTTAGCGTACTTTTTAAATATCTATCCAAATACTCTAGAAAAGCTTGTCGGCATTGCTTTAGGGGGCAAAAATGTGAAAGCTTTCTTCCTGGATATACGCACAAACCTATACTTTCTTTTAAACTAAGCCACAAGTAACATTCAGCTCTCGCTCTAGTACGAATGCACTTTTATTTTGACAACTACTGCTGTTACTGTTGATATGTTAGATGATGAGACTGGCACTAACGAGAGAAGAAGATAAAACAGTAAGTTATAAATCCCAAGACACTACGTCGTTTGTGTTCTGTCTGTCCGACAGCCTGTAAAGGCAGGGGAAACAGAAAGTGCAAAAAAGATACATTTTGCCGATTAAACTTAAAACTTTGTTCTTCCTTGTGACGAAGGAAAACTCTGAAAGTTTTCACAAAAGTATTTGTGATGTCACTTTTACCAGCTAAAAGACACGTTCATCAAGGTTTACATATATATATATGAGTCAATGCAATCTTACCTGGTTTATAGTTACAAATGTCATTTTTCCTTCCTTAATAATTCTCAAATGGCTATTTGAACTATTAAAATGACATCAAAATCTTATATCTCAAAAGAAGAATGAAGAACTATATTGTAACATGTTTATTCTTCGTAGTATACATAATTTACTACAGATATTCTCTTTCCTCTTTCCATCATTTTTTATTACTATCGCCTCTTCTCGTTATTAGTCAATTGCAAATAATCTGTTAATATTATTTGGTATTATTATTATTGTTGTCTGATTAATCGAAAAGTAAGGAACGTTAGCAAACTTATAGAATGCTCACATGCGTTGGATGTGACAGTAGTGGGCACAGAGTATGATTAACTTTTTTCATAACAATCGATTGACATTCATCGCCTTCAATTAGAACTTGTGTGTAACTGAATAAGTCCATGTAAAAAGAGAACTATAGGAACAGTCTAAAATTATCCACATCAGTTGTATAGCAGAGGATAACAGAAATGGAATGAGGAAAATATGTTTTATTTAGGATAGATTGGAGTGCTGTTACATAACATCATTTAGTTAGCCGTACGACTTTAAACGTACCAATCCAAATCTTGTATGCTTACGGCTTTTTAAAACTCATTTATCTATGAAGAGATTAGTCCGATCAAATTATATAGAACATTACCTTATTATTGCTTGATTGTCCTTTTACTGAGTGATTCCCTTACAAATAAGATGTAATTATGATCAATGTTTCTGTTACATAACAGTAGAAAAGAAAAAATCACAATTTAAAATGGCACAAGTACATCTTGCCGGCGGTCATTGTTTCTCTCTATCGCTCAGAACAAATAAAAAAAGAGACAATCTTTATCAAGAATTAATAAGATTATTGCTACAATTCGTAATACTTCCGATAATCGATATAAAAACTTCAGTGATACTTGTCTTGTATTACACTTCTTTATCCACTAACTAAACTTAACTACACAGAATTGTTTCTTTAACTAGTTAAACTTTATTATCCATCAAAAAGTTTTACATCATTTAACAGTATGATGTATGGTTATGTGTTCTTTCATAGAATACAAAGATGTTAACTAAGAATTCTACGATAAAAATTTATTGATTTTTCTGATTTTGGTTCCATTTTTGAAATGTATTTCTGCCAGTAGGACTATATGATTTAAAATAGATAGTAAAATAATTTAAATTCTAAAATTTGAATAAGTTTCAACAAAGCGCCATTTCTTAAACAAGTTGTCGAATAAAAATAAAAAGGAGTTTTCGTAAAATTTAAATGAAGAGAAAATCATTGGTGACCATCAAGAAATGAATAGTCAAAATCTCTTTGATCAACGTTCTCACACACTCTATTCTTTTAAATTTTGATCTGATAGATTCTCTTTTCTGTTTCGTAATTTTTTTCAAGAAAGACAACAGTATTAGAACTACATAAATTTTATGGAATATCATCCAAGCAATTCAATACCAATATCAGCGACTATTGGTGGCGGCAGTGGCATTGGAAATGAACGTACTGCTATTGTTTATGTATCCTATGAGGGTTGTTGTTATGAAGTAAGAATTCGAAGTGATTCAGAGCCAAGAATACTAGATATTCTCTACGGTTTACAACGAGCACTATGTATTCCACAATATGAGATGATGCTATGCTATGGACAAACAAGAATTGATTGTCATCCATTTTGTAGTTTAAAATCATTAGGAATACCGGAAGGTGTTACACTCAATTTATACAGATGTATATGATCAAGAACATCAAAACCATCATCATTATTTGATGGACTTTAGTGTTTCTTGTACGGATTATTTATCGATAATATTCAGTTAGATTTTTTAACATGTTTTGTAACAGACCGATAAATCACTTCTCTTTTGCTGAAAAAGGTCGTTCAACTTTTTAAATTACTATCAGCACAATTTTCTATAGATTATTACTGATCTCCTTTGATCCAGCCTGCATCAAACTCTTATAAAAATCTTAGACATTTCTTAAAATTATCTTACTAAGATCGTATAAGATCCTAATTAAGATTTGATGTCTCTACTTGTATTCACTCTTTTTGTTTTACTCTCATACTATAACATAAATAACACCTAAAATATAACCAATTTTACAATGTCATCTTTCTTTAGGACTTTTCACTTACTTGCTCACTCAAAAGTGTTAAACAACTTTTGAGAGACTGTAGACTTCAATTGACATTTTTAACAATGCAGGACAACAAAATCAAACTAGAACTCGATTACTTAAAAGAACTTTATTAGTATTTTTAGACAAGATGTTCAGAAATTCTTAGTACATGAATCAATCTTATTTAAAAACTTGATGCTTCTTAGGCAGATCTTAACACTCTTATTCTTAAAAAAAATTTGGCTAAAGTAACCTGTATGTTGGTAAGATCTCAGCAAAGTCTTATTAAATCTTAGAATTTTCGGGTCTTACGATCTTAGTAAGATTTGTCCATGATCCTGGTCAAATGTAAGCAAAAGATTAAGAAAATCTTAATAAGATTACTCTAAGATCTTAAAAGATTCCAGTAAGTTTTTTAACACGGAAGGAGATTGAGATTGCTTTTCTTCGAGGCATATTTAGACAGAAAGTATATCAGATAACAACTCGGGTGTACTTCCTGCGTTAATCTGATTACGTAAAACCATCAATCTTTAACTTTAAGCATGCTATTCACATAAATATTTAATTATTTTTATTGGTTTCTAATATATCATATGCCCTTTTGAAGTACTTTACCGAAGGACAATATTTTATTGTTCTTTTGTCCTCTTTTTTCAACACATAAAGGTATTAAGCACTGTTATTCTTCTTTTGTAATGTATTCACAATTCAAACGGAACGAGAAATAGATATTTTCTTTACGGTTTAGCACTTCTGCTTTGATGCATGGCATATTGGGGTGAATATTTAAATACGATAACATGAAAAATGCTTAACAAGCATTTTGAACTTTAACTTATTATCGTTACCTATAAAGATATGTTTATTAAGTGGGGGTTACGTTAGAAAAACAACAAATTTATCTAATTTTTTCTACAAGGTATTCAGTTAACTAAATTCGTGACGGAAACATATCTGATGTATCATATGCAATGACAACGCAAATTACCACTAACATACGCAAGGTTTGTTTATGTATGATCCAATTTTCGAAAGATACATTGTTTTTATTAATTATAGATTTTATGCATCAGAAATCATCGTTACTACACATTTTTGTA